CTCAAGGAGGCAGTCTTGGAAAGCCCGTGTTTCTGGGGAGAAGAGGGCAAAAAAGAATGAGGTGCCTTTTGAAACGACACTGTGAAAGAACAGAGAGGGCAGAGTATAGATCCTACAAGACAAGAGAAAATTCAAGTCCAGGACATATAACCATGTCCCCTTTTTTGGCTTTTTTGCCTTCTAATAAAGAAACCATACTCACTACACTTACAAAAGAATAGGAACTGTTCTTGAACTAGGAATCACATAAATCATCTATCAATCCTGTTCACAAAATACAAAATTAAAGATAAAAAAGAGTCAATGAGACGTGGATGGAACTAGAGGGTATCATGCTTAGTGAAATAAGTCAATCGGAAAAAGACAACTATGATCTCCCTGATATGAGGAAGTGGAGATGCAACATGGGGGCGTTAAGGGGGTAGGAGAAGAATGAATGAAACAAGATGGGACTGGGAGGGAGACAAACCATAAGTGACTCTTAATCTCACAAAACAAACTAAGGGTTGGTGGGGGAGGGGGTTTGGGAGAGGAGGGGGGGTTATGGACATTGGGGAGGGTATGTGCTAAGGTGAGTGCTGTGAAGTGTGTAAACCTGGCGATTCACAGACCTGTACCCCTGGGGATAAAAATATATTTTATGTTTATAAAAAATAAAAAATTTAAAAAAATGAGTCAATGAACTTAAAGATGGTGCCACAGAAATTATATAATCTGAAGAGGAGAAAAAGACAAACTGAAAATAATGAGTCTCAGCGTCCTGTAGAATAATATAAAAACAGCTAACACAAATATAATTGAAGTCCCAAAAAAAGAGGTTAAAGCGAATGGAAAAAAAAACAACAACAACAAAAATTGGTAACTTGGAACTTCCTAAATTGGGTGACAGGCATAAATTTATAGATTTAAGGTTAGCAAACCTCAAGAAGGATAAAAACAAAGAAAATCACACCTAGACACACTGTAGGCAAACTGCTGAAAAAAATAAATAAATAAAGAGAAAATTTGGGAAGCAAAGAAAAATGGCCCATTATATACAAAATAAAAAAAAAATGATGACTCCATCTTACAATAGAGTTAAAAAGGCATAATTAGGAATAAATTTAATGAAAGATATATAAGACCTCCCCACTAAAAACTACAAACAGATATGAGAAAGTTGAGAGGCAACATGGGGGGGTTGGGGAGTAGGAAAGGAATAAATGAAACACGATGGGATTGGGAGGGAGACAAACCATGAGACTTTTAATCTCACAAAACAAACTTGAGGGTTGCTGGGGGAGAGGGGGAGGGAGAGGGTGGTGGGGTTATGGACATTGTGAGTGCTGTGAAGTGTGTAAACCTGGTGATTCACGGACCTGTACCCCTAGGGCTAAAAATACATTATATGTTAATAAAAAATAAAAACTTGTTTTAAATAAAACTACAAACAGTCTTAAAGAAATTAAGACCTAGCAAAAAGGGGGGCACCTGGGTGGCTCAGGGGGTTAAAGCTCCCAGGGTCCTGGGATCAAGCCCCGCATAGGGCTCTCTGTTCTTCAGGGAGTCTGCTTCCCCCTCTCTCTCTCTGCCTGTCTCTCTGCCTACTTGTGATCTCTGTCAAATAAATAAATAAAGTCTTTAAAAAAAAAAAAAAAACCCGCAAAGGGAGATGTATCATGTTCATAGGTTTCAATAATCAATACCATTAAGATGTTAATTTTTCCCAAGTTGACCTAAAGATTAAATGTCACCCCAGTCATAATCCTAAAAGACTTTTTTATAGACATTGATAAAATGATTCTAATATTTATATGGAAAATGCAAAGGAGCTAGACTGTCCAAATCAATCTTGAAAAACAACAAAGTTGAAGGACCATCAACAAAGTTGATGTCACACAGTCATACTCATGGCTCACTATAAAGCTACAGTAATTAAAATAGAAGTAATTAAAACTGACATAAGAATTAATCAGTGGTGGGGCACCTGGGTAGCTCAGTTGGTTAGGTGGCTGACTCTTGGTTTTTGGCTCAGGTCATGGTCTCAGGGTCAAGGTCTCTGGGTTGTGGGATCAAGCCCTGCATTGAGCTCCGTGCTCAGTGGGGAGTCTGATGGAGATTCTTTCCCTCTCTCTCTGCCCCTCCCCCTACTCTTGCACACACTCCCTCTCTAAAATAAACAAATAAATAAATCTTAAATTAAAAAAAAAAAAAATCAGTAGAACACACAAAAAAAGCCCAGAAACCAACCACCATTTATACAGTCATCTGAATGGCAATCTGAATTGCAAAGGTACAAATGTAATGCCATGACATTTTCAACAAATGGTGCTGGGATAACTGGATCTCCATATGGAGAAAAAATTTTATATTTTCCCCAAAATATTTTTGACAATTCACAAATAGAGATGGATCATAGACCTAAATATAAAAGCTACAATGATAAAATTTCTAGAAGAAAATATAGAACTGTATCTTCATATCCGAAAGGTAGTCAAAATTTCTTAGACAAGACCCAGGAAGTAGTAACAATTAAAAAAAAATGATAAATATGACTACACCAAAATGTAATACTTTGCTTACCAAAGAGCACTCTGAAAATGATTAGGCAACCACAAAAGACTGATATCTAGAACATTAAAAGGATATAACTCCTGCAACTCAATAATAAAGACAAATAACCCAATTTTAAGTGGTCAAAAATCTGAGCAGGTACTTAAAGGAAGATACACAAATGTGTACAAGCCTAGGAAAGTGTTCCAACATCATTAGTAATCAAGGACTAAAATTAAAACCATAATGACATACCCCTCCATACCCTCCAGAATGGCTAAAAATAAAGACTACAGCACCAAAAGTTGGCAAGGATGTGAAGCAACTGGAATTCTCATACACAGCTGGCTGGAAAAACAATGAAAAAACTATTCAGCTGTAAGCACGTTACCCTGCATGAGAAAAGAATAATGACTTGGGTTCAGAGGGTAGAACAGCAGGCCACAGAGGATTATCCCCAGGCCTTGATCCCTAATGGCTCTTTTTATATTCTGGAGGTCAGTCTTTTGTTAGGTAGGTGTGTTGGTGCTTGCCTATTCATTTTCTTAGAGTTGTCTTTGATGAGAAGTTTTGAATTTGTTATTATCACATTTGTTTAAGTGGGTATTGCTTTCTAAGTCTTGTCTAAGAAAGCTCTGCACACCCTCAGATGTGTCATGAAGCTATCCTTTTAGATTTTCTTCTAGAAGAATTATGTTTTATAATTTTGGAAATTAAATTGATAATCTCTTTAGAAATTAAACATGCATCTACCATACGACCCAAGAATTCTTCTGATAGGTATTTTCTTAGAGAAATAAAATCATATAACCAAGAAAAGATTTGTGGGATGGAGACACCTGGGTGGCTCAGTCAGTTAAGCTCCGACTCTTGATCTTGGCTCAGGCCACAATCCCAGGGTTGTGCGACTGAGCCCCCCGCTGGGATCCACATTGAGCTCTGCGCTGGGTATGGAGCCTGCTTAAGATTCTCTCTCTCCATCTCCCTTGCTCCTCCACCACCCTCTCAAAAAAAAAAAAAAAAAAAAAAAAAAAAAGATGTGTGGGATGGAAAGGGAAAGAGATTGAACCAGGACAGGGGCTATGAGCAAGAAATGGATGATTTTGAGAGATATTAAGAAGGTCAACGAGATTTGTAAAAATGTTTTTATTCTGATCTACTTCCTTCTCACCTAAAAGCATTTCTAATTATAAGCGGAGAGAGGAAGGAAGGAATAAGGAATGAGGCATGTTACATAAGGAAATTTTCCTCTTTTGTCTGACCTTTTCTCATCTGTATTAATGAAAGGACAGGGGGCACCTTGGTGGCTCAGTTGCCTAAGCATCTGCCTTCGGCTCAGGTCGTGATCCCAGGGTACTGGGATAGACCCCACCATCAGGCTCTCTGCTCAGTGGATTGCCTGCTTCTCTCTCTACCACTCCCCCTGCTCTCCGTGAAATAAATAAAATCTTAAAAAAAAAAAAAAAGACAGGATAGGCAGGGCATGAAGGGTAGTATTAGTCACCTTAAAAAGTTTGAAACATTAGTTTATAAACCTTGGGACAGCAATGGAAATTTTAAGCTGAGAATAATGAGATTATAATCAGGCATCAGAAGGCTCTTTGTCAACAGTGAATGAGGGAGGGATAAGTTAGGAGTCTGTTCCAACAGTCCAGAGAGAAACTGATAAAGGAAGATCATGGCCATGTGAAGAAAGAATGGACTCTGGATATGTATTACAGGGGGCAGAACTGGCAACTCAGTGACGGGCAAGGATCTGATTGCAAAGATAAAGAACAGCAGGATTAGAGACCAAGTTTTTTTTTCTTTTATTTTTGTGTATGTACACGCTGCTGTAACATTTTGTGAAACTTCAAATGTCATCTCCTCTTTGAAGCCTTTTGCAGGTTACACTCTAAACAGAATCAATCCTATGCTCTCTAGCATTTTAGACATACATCAAAACACACATTCCAAAAAAAAAAAAGGCACATACTACACTCTAATCCACACTCAGCCATTCAAGAACAGAAAGGCCATATACTAATTACTCAATCTCCAGCATTTAACATAGTCCTGACCCTGCACTAGTATAAGGAGCATTTTACTTTTCTTTTAGCTTCTCTTCACTTTAAAACTGCCAGTATGGTATTAAAAATGAATGCCTTGAGTGGAAAAATGTTAGAAGTTACAGAGACAGAAAAGAATATCCACACTAGGCTTTCTGTCCTTGAATAATTACACTGGTTATACAGTCAATTCTCATTCATGGTAGTTCTATGAAGTCATCATGAACACTGAATTATCAATTACTGAACCATTTGCTCCGAGGAGAAATACAGGGTTAGGTCCTTGTGAGCCTCTGGTCACATTTTCTTAAACTAGTCAATACAGAGTCTTGTTTTATGTGTGTTTCCACTGAAAGATACCTCACTCAAAATATATTAACTCACTAATTGACCTCACAGCCAGAAGCATGTAACTCATACCTGAACAATGCTTATCTAAAAGAAGCTTTCTTTTCTTTGTAAGAGACATCACAGCCTTCTTGCACTTGAAATGCTAGACAGCACTTCGGCCACATGCTTGGAAGCCATTCCAAACTGCGAAATCACTAACAAAAAGTACAAAAATGAGAAAAATTTGACACTAAATATATCTCAAAGCACTATGAGTGTTGATTTAGGGGTTACAAAAATTTATGGATAGGTACAGTCCCAAATAAAGAATCTATGAATAGGGGCACCTGGGTGGCTCAGTGGGTTAAGCCTCTACCTTCGGCTCAGGTCATGATCTCAGGGTCCTGGGACGGAGCCCCAACATCACGCTCTCTGCTCAGTGGGGAGCCTGCTTCCCCCTCTGTCTCTGCCTGCCTCTCTGCCTACTTGTGATCTCTCTGTCAAATAAATGAATAAAATCTTAAAAAAAAAAAGAGTCTATGAATAATGAGGATCAACTACAGGTTTTTTTGTTTGGTTTTGAGATAAAACCACTCTCCCACAGTTCTATCAGCTACATTTTTCATTCACTCATCCACCTACACCCAGTTTGTATCACAAGGTCATGGCACACATCATGCAGCAACACAAATATTTCTCTGCTAGTTACCACTACAATTAGTGGTTTAAGAAAGGACTTTAAAAGACAACTTTCCCTAAAAGATACCAGACCTGAGGCCACTAAAATACCTGAGCCAGTCCCAGAGTTAAACGCTGGCTTAGGAGAATTACATTTAAAAACGTGCCTCAGACTGTGAGTTCTGTGAAGGAATAGATCTTAATAGGTCTAGGAAGACGAAAGTAGAAACAACCCAAATGTTCATCAACTAATGTAGAAACAAAATGTGGTATATCCCTAAAAGGGATTATTACTATTATTCAGCCATAAAAAGGAGTGAAGTATTGACAATGCTACAATAGGCATGAACCTTGAAAACATTACGCTTGGTGAAAATGTGCCCAACACACAAAAACTGTAGGATTCCACTTACCCGAAATATCTAGAATTGGCAAATTCAGAGGCAAAAAGATTAGCGGGGTGGGGATGGGGGCAAATGAGAAGTGCCTGCTAACGAGTTGTGGGTTTCTGTTCAGGGTGATAAAAATGTTATGGGACTAGATAATGGTGATGGTTGCACAACCTTGTAAATATACTAAGCCCACGGAACTGTTTAAATGGATGAATTTAATCGTACATGAATTGCATCTCTATTAAAAAAAAAAAAAAAACTAAGAAGGCTAACTATGCGGCTAAACACCAATGTCAGATTCCTTTAGAAGAGTAATTCCTTCCCAACTGCGGCCACTCCTCTCGACTCCGCCTAGCTACGGACACAAACTTCAGCACCCTTCACTCCGGTCAACAGGCAGCATTGGGGAGGTCTCACGCCAGTGCACGGGACTGCCACAATTAACAATACGCCGCCTGCACCCCATCGTGGGGTCTCGGGGTGTTGGTCCAAGTCTCCTGTACCCCTGTCCCTCCTAACCAAACTCTCACTAAGCCCTGACCCTGAACTCCTACTGTTCTAACTAGTACAGGCCCCGGACTCGGGACCACGGTGCTGGAGCCCTCAGGACTACCTCAAACCCTCAACCGCCTTTCCCAAGCTGTGCCGCCCACGCTCCACAACCCCGGGCCGGAACCACCCCAATTGGGCCGTCCTCCCTCCCTTCCTCTCCACTTACGCGCCTCTGGCAGCGCGCGGTGCACGCAGGGAGCTCGGTCTAGGTTAAATGCAAGGGGAAGGGAGCGTAGATAGAGCCGCGCAGAGGAGACTGGGAAAGAACTGCAAGAGAACTCTGGGAAGAAGGTCCAAATCGAGTGCCGGGGCGGGCGAGGAGGACAGGAGGAGGAGCTAAAAATTAAGTCAAGGGACAAGAGCCGCAAGGCAATCTGCCGAAAGCCGTAAAGCAACCTGGCAGCACGATGCTGACTACGACGTGCCAAGGCCAAATTCTCCGAGTCACTCCCACAGCCTCCATCTCCCCCAAACTCCCTTTACTTTTGCGGCCGCCCAGGTCTCTGCTGCCCCCTGGCGGACTCAGCGAGCTAACGAGGAGCATTTCGGCGCCTGAGAGATCTCACAAACCCAGTCCCCAGATAGAATGAAGCGATGGGGTGGGTAGAACTTCTCGGATCCGTCCGTGCACGCGAGGGATACTGCAGGAAAAGAAAAACGTGATTTTAAGCCTCCTTTGAATGGTCATCACAGTCCTTTACAGATTCCACCTCAGGCAGGCTCCCCAAACCGAGGTAGTGTGGACACATTTGCTCATTAAGCCCTCTTCCTCTCCCGCTTCTGCCGCGCGGGCGCACACACAAACACACACTCATCACCTGATGGCTTCTTAAATTAGCTGGGACTGGAGGGAAATGAGAGTGTGGCGGCAAGTAGGAAGGGAGTTCTTTAGAATGGCCCTTGGAACTGTGCCTTGCAACTGGGTGATGACTGCACACCCTATTAGTAGTTCAAAAACAAGATTAAAATGTTTAGTCATCACAACCCCTCTTAAGTACTTAAGAACTCCAACAAAATCATTCTCTTACGTTTCCAAATTGGTTGTTTCAATACACCCCGTTAACCAGACCTTTCATTATCTGAGCAGCAATACTCCAGAACAAGTCATTTCCTGGATGACTACTCACTCTTCCCAGTAACACCATCGGAAGCTGAGTAAAAAGCCTAAATCAGATCCAAAGCATGAACAATTTATTTGGTAAAGGTAGCATTTCAAATCAACCAAGAAAGGAATGGTTTACTTTTAAAATGGTGTTGGGATGATTAGTTAACCATTTGGGTTGATTCCTTATCAAAACATACACTAAAATAAATTACAGTTGAATTCAAGAGTGAAATGGTAAACAAAGATATACATAAAACAAAATAAAAGATACATAGATGAGTATCCCTCAGAATGGAGGACTTTCTAAGTATAAAAATGAGACATAAATCGTAAAGTAAAAGAGGGACAAAATGTAACTATCTACATAAAACTTTAAACTTCTGGAAGTTGAAAATAAAGTAAACTTTAGAAGTAAACATGAAAAAGGGGGAGAATCATGAATGGTAAAGAGAGCTTGTGTATAAAAAGTTCAAACAAGAATAACAGACCAATGGTATGAGTAGATATTTCACAAAAGGATAATACAATAAATATGAAAAAAGTTTTAATTTTAATAAAAGTAAAAAACACGCATATTAAAATAAGTGTATCATTTCACTCACTTCTGTGTTAATTTAGGAAATTAAAATAATGTATATAAATATTATATGATCACATTCTTATTGAAAAATACAAACAATAAAAGTAAAAACAACATTTTATTTGACCACTCATACATCAGAACCAGTCCTATTCTCAGAGTTAACCATTGTTGTCAGTTATGTATATTCTTGCTGACCTTTTATTTATGATCATACATTAAAATAATGTTGTCTGAAGGATGCCTGACTGGCTCAATTGGTGAAGCATGGGGCTCTTGATCTCGGGGTCATAAATTAAAGTCCCATGTTGGGTGAAGAGCTCACTTTAAAATAATTAATTAATATTGTCTGATAATACTCAGTGCAGATGATACTCTTACACTGCTAGTAAGAATGTAAAGTGATGCAACCTTTTAGGAAAGAAATCTGACAATATATATTAAAATTACATATGCTTCAGGGATGCCTGAGTGTCTCAGTTGGTTGATAGTCTGTCTTCTACTCAGATCATGATCCCAGATCCCTGGGATTAAGTCCCACATCCAACTCTCCGCTCAGCAGGAAGCTGCCTTCTCCCTCTCCCTCCACCTCTTCCCTTGGCTTGTTCTCTCTCTTTCTCTCAAAGAAATAAGTAAAATCTTAAATATATATATATATATATTTATTTATTTATTTATTTATTTATATATATATAGACTCTGACCCAGGAATTCAACCTCTAGGACCTTATCAGCTAAAGAAAATATCAGGGATGCACACAAATATTTCTACCCTAAAAAGTACTGGAAACAAATTAAAATGCCACATTATGGGATCTGTTAAATAATACAGCCATGAGGGCCACCTGCGTGGCTCAGCTAGTTAAGCTCTTGCCTTCAGCTCAGATCATGATCCCTGGGTCCTGGGATGAAGCCCCACACCAGGCTCCCTGCTTAGTAAGTAGACTGCTTCTCCTTCTTCCTCTGCCTCTCTCTCTCTGCCCCTTTGCCCCTATCCCACTCATGTTCTCTCTTTCTCTCTCTCTCTCTCTCTCTCAAATAAGTAAATAAAATTCTTAAAAAATAATAATAACATGGCCATTAAAAATCATGTTTAAATGTCCATTGACATGCAAAAGTTGTCCAAGATCTTTTTCTGTGGAAAAAGCAGGGTCCAAAATTATACACATAAAACAGCTTGCCTAGGGGTGCCTGGGTGGCTCAGTGGGTTAAAGCCTCTGCTTTCGGCTCAGGTCATGATCCCAGGGTCCTGGGATCGAGCCCCGCGTCGGGCTCTCTGCTCAGCGGGGAGCCTGCTTCTCCCCTCTCTCTCTGCCTGCCTCTCTGTCTACTTGTGAGCTCTCTCTGTCAAATACATAAATAAAATCTTTAAAAAAAAAAAAAGATTTAAAAAAAAAAAACAAAAAAACAGCTTGCCTACACCCATTAGGATGGCTAATAGTAATTTTAGAGTCTTGATGAGGATGTAGAAAGATTGGAACCTTTGAGCCCTATTGGTAGGAATGTAAAATGGGGCAAACACTATGGAAAACTACATAATGGTTCTTCAAAAAATTAAAAATGGAATTACTATTTGATCCAGCAATTTTCCTTCCAGGTATATACTCAAAAGAATTGAAAGCATAGTCTTTTTTTTTTTTTTAAGATTTTATTTATTTATTTGACAGACAGAGATCACAAGTAGGCAGAGAGGCAGGCAGAGAGAGAGGAGGAAGCAGGCTCCCTGCCAAGCAGAAAGCCCGATGTGGGGCTTGATCCCAGGACTCTGGGATCATGACCTGAGCTGAAGGCAGAGGCTTTAACCCACTGAGCCACCCAGGCACCCCATTGAAAGCATAGTCTTAAAGAGATATATTTTTTTAAGATTTCATTTATTTATTTGATAGAGTGAGCGAGGGCAGGAACACAAGCAGGGGAGTGGGAGAAAGAGAAGCAGGTTTCCCACTGAGCAGGGAGCCCAATGTGGGGCTTGATCCCAGGATCCTGGGATCATGACCTGAGCCTAAGGCAGAGGCTTAATGACTGAGCCACCCAGGTGCCCCTTAAAGAGATATTTATATACTCATGTTCATAGCAACATTATGCATGATAGCCAAAAGGAGAAAGCACCCCAATGTCCATTAACAGATAAGTGGATAAGCAAAATGTGGTAAATACATACAATGGAATATGATTCAGCCTTAAAAAGGAAGTAAATTCTGACACCTGGTACAATATGATGAAATTTAAGGACATTATGCTAAGTGAATTAAACTTGTAACAAAAAAAAAAAAAAAACCACTGTACAATTCTGCTTATGGGAGATACCTAAAGTAGTCAAATTCATAAAGATGAAAAGTATTAAGAGGGGGCGCCTGGGTGACTCAGTGGATTAAGCCTCTGCCTTTGGCTTAGGTCATGATCTCAGGGATCAAGCCCTGCATCGGGCTCTCTGCTCAGCGGGGAGCCTGCTTCCCCTTCTCTCTCTGCCTGCCTCTCTGCCTACTTGTGATCTCTCTCTCTGTGTCAAATAAATAAATAAAATATTTTAAAAAAAAAAGAAAAGTATTAAGAGTATTAGCAGGGGTTAGGGGAAACAGGAAATGGAGAGTTGTTATTTAATGGACATTGAATTTCAGTTTTGCAAGAGGAAAAGTGTTCTGGAGATTGGTTGCACAACAATGTGCATATATTAATACTACTGAGCTATACACTTAAAAATGGTTAAGCTGGTAAATTTTATGTGTATTTTACCACAATTAAACAGTTTTTATTTTTTTAAAGATTTTATTTATTTATTTGACAGAGAAAGAGAGAGAGAGAGGACAGTAAGGGGAACAGCAGGAGGAGAGGGAAAAGTAGGCTTCCCGCTGAGCAGGGAGCCAGACACAGGGCTCAATCCCAGGACCCTGAGATCAGGACCTGAGCCAAAGGCGGATGCTTAACAACTGAGCCTTCCAGGTGCCGCTAAACATTTTTTTTAATTAGAATAAAATAAGTCTTTAAAAACTTGCCTACAATAAAGTAAATCAAAGAGCTTCCATACTGTCAAGGTCTCCAATGAACTGATTAATAGTTCATTCTTAAGTGTGAGGGCAATAAAGGAACCAAAGAATATCTTTGACATAAAAGTTTAAAAAAAAAAAATGAAAAAGTAAAACCAAGAGAGAAGGCAAATGGAAAAACCTTTTTTTTTTTTTTTTTTTCAAGAAAGCAATGGAACGCCTGGGTGGCTCAGTGGGTTAAGCTCCTGCCTTCAGCTTGGGTCATGATCCCAGGGTCTTGGGATTGAGTCCCACATCGGGCTCCTTGCTCAGCAGGGAGCCTGCTTCTCTCTCTGCCTTTCTGCCTGCTTGTGTGCTCTCTTTCTCTCTCTTTCTTTCTGACAAATGAATAAATAAATAAAATCTTAAAAAAAAAGAAAAAATTTTCTCAGATAACAAGATATTATAGTCTATTCATGAATAGAATAGTGTGTTCTAAGAAAAAAGCATTTAAAAAAAGCTTTTAGAAATTAAAAATATGATAGCTAACGTAAACATCTCG